GCGGCAAATCTGATTTGGTACTTGCACGCAATGTAAAATTGTGACAGCAGCATCTAGTCACCTTCTAAAATACCAAACCATAACTTGTTTAATGAAAACTGTGATCATTCAGAATATTCTTGCTATATACCCCGAGTTCCATGCATTCACTGATATGCGCTTTCATTTTAGATTGCATTGACGGTTTTCTCTCTTTCTATTTCTCCCAACCTTACAGTGGCTATGCAATGCATGTTCTACATTGAACTGCAAATATTGCTTGTTGATTTACTGTTAGATGAAGACCAGTGAAAAAACTAAAAAATTGTTGCTATAAATGTGCCTCTATAACCATAAGTACATTGATGGGCCCAAAAATTAATTATTTGTTTAATCGCAGTCAGTAAACTGGCTGCAATACACTTTCAGGTAAAGACCCTATGCAAATAAATGAACATTGTCAGGACACACACACTTAAATAATGGTTCTAATATTGGTTCTCCGGTGAAACAGTTGAAATCCATTTATGTGATTAATCAAAATTCACGGTAGTGTGATATCATATTTATTTACTTGCGTGAAATTTATATTTTATCTCCCAAACATGAAAAACTCGCATAAAAAACTCATAAAAATGAACAATAATACTAGTACATGGTCACCAAAATGTTATCCTCTATTTAAAATACAATACAAAACAATGTTTATTTTAAGTAGACTTGAATGGCCAAATTTTGTCTCAAAATTTCATTTAAGTGTCTACTAATATATATGTGTTTAAATATCCTATTAACTACATTTTCGCAAAAGCAAACTTATAATTTCAAGTTATACCAAAATACATGTCGGATGATAATTTACAAATAGAAAAGCAGCAGTAGAAAAAATCAAACTGTCCTCATTAATTCTTAATTTTTATTCCAAGTACTTAACCCACTGTTGTGCAAACACATTATTTGCATTGGCCAAGATCTCAAAAATAAACGGTAGCAGTGTTTCGTGAAACTATAGATAAAGAAGAAAAAATGATTTATTCCAACCATTCAGAAAATTTTTAATTTGGTTAAACTTGAAATAAAGTTAATAAAAATACAATAAGGTTTCAATAATAAAATATAAAATGAGAACTGATAAGATAACAAATTATTTTGTTTATATGCTTACTGCTGGTGATGTGTTGAAGTGGAAATAACATACTCAACTGTAAAGTCCAAAATACAAGTCATGTAGGGAAAGTCGAGAACAGAAAACCAAAGGCTGCGCAATTGACAAAAAGAAAAAAAAAACGACAAGTACACTACATAATCAAAGCAATGAGAGAGAGGTGCAGTACATTTGCTCTGGACTGTTAGGAGCACATGTGCTTACCCAAATTACAGAGGTGTTATAAATAACTGATTCAGTATACAACAAAGGTGATTGTTGGTTAAAATGTGTTTCTATTAGAGATGTGCTTCTAATAGAGCATCTCAGGAGTATGGACTCCATGGTATACAGGAAGTGATGTCAGGTGTTTTGACCAGAGCGAGTACATCCTCCGTGCCCTACATGTGAAATCCACCATGTATTAAAGTTGTGACCGGTTACTGGTGGCATAGTGGTTGTCGCATCAGACTCATGACCCCTACCTTGGGTAAACAAAAAAACAGAAAAACTTTAAAAAAAAAACGTCAAATAATTTAAATAATGCCAAATAATGCCACAGACTCAATGGGAAGGCCAATTCCATTGGCTGAGATTCATTCACTAATGAACGCGACTTTGGGGCAACCTTGGATAAGGTCCGCAGGTACTTGTGTTCGACCGAGCCTAGTTGATGCCAGGATAGCGCATTAAAATTGCCATTTGACAGAGAGATGGCCACACGGCCCTGTCATGTAGTCCCAAACATGAATGACTTCTGTGGCAAAAATGCACTATGTGTCAGCACTTGCAATTTGCACATACAAAAATAATGTCAGGAGAGACAACAGTGACACTCAATGTCCGGAACTGTCGCACAAAAAAATTATAAAACAAAAACGTTATTCAGAACTGAGAATGCACTTTCAGTCGTATTCTTTTATTTCTTTCAGAAATGGATGTTACTATGTCAATGTCTATGTGATGATTATGATGAAGCTAATAAGACAGACTTGGGAAAGGTGAGTGGTAACTTTGATGAATATAACTCAGTTGAGTTATGAGCATGGCATCCCTTAGACTTGACATCACATAATTTGTTACATTTACATGTCACTATATCTGCTGTGCCTTCCTAAATGTCATGTCGTGTCGTGTCGTGTCGTGTTGTGTCGTGTCGTGTTGTGTCGCGTCGCATCGCGTCGCATCGTGCTTTGCCGATATGTGTCATGTCATGCCATCCTTGTCTTCACACTCACTTGGCAACATCATCATAATAAATTTGAACATCATATATTATGATGTTATTACGAAAATACCTCAAAGTATGCACGAAGACAGTACAGTGGGAGTATCGACCGTCGCGCAGCGGAGGGCGGTGTGCGGTGTACTGTCTGAGTGCATACTTTGAGCTATTCTCGTAATAACCTTATTATTACACATCTTTTCCCTCCAATGATACATCATGGGAATGCCGAAATCCAAAAAGTTTAGAACAGAATCAGCGAACTTCTTTGTGTGAACTCCGGTCAAACTCTGGCGGCAGCCATGTTTGTTTTTATTATAAGAGGACGCTTATGCTCGTAATCATTCCATATTTGGAATTCACATTTCCTAATATGGTAGGATGAAAATACCCCATAAAATGCCGCAAAATTACAACACGCTGTAACTTATGGCATTACAGTGACAGATGTATAATAATATATTACGAGTTCAAGAGAAGACATTAAAAAAACAATTTGATGAATACAAAATATTTGAAATTAGAAATAACAATAACATGAACGGACATTTTACTTTTACTTTAGTTTTATATGTATTGTACTTTATTACAAACATTTTATTATCCCTTGTTTCGCAAACCCGCCGAATGAACAGGAGCCGAAAATTAAATAAAAATAAAATTTTATTTCAACATAATTTCTCCCGCCCGCCGAGTAAGTGCAAAAAAATGCTAAAAAAATATTACCCGCCGCATAACCAATCCAAGTTGCATTTTTGTGGGAGTATCATGATCAAAGTACTGAAGTCTCGCACAGATGAGAAACAAGGTTATACCAGAGGTACATTATTTGGGGTTTGCAACGCGCATAGTACTGTATGGTGACATCATGTCAAGATCCCATTCAAGTCTCATCTCGTAGATAGCGAGACTGGTGCTACGACCTTCTGACATGACATAGGCGGTTTGTAATAAAACAATAAAACATGTATTACCACATTCATAGTGAAAAAATGTAATACATCGAAAATGTACAGAAAATATAGTTATCGTAATCCGTCACATCGTGAACAGCTATTTTGATCCACCTGGACATCCCAGTATCCTAGTTACCTCGGGCATGCGCATTCGAATTTTTCTAAGTTGGAACGTTTATGTGAGAGCGAGATTGAAACAGGATCTTGGTATCATGTCATCGTAGTTGCAAACCCCAAGTAATGTACCTCTGGTTATACATAGAATAAAATTTTATTTAATTTCTTCTCTCCGATCAATGATCTCACTTACAATTCTTTGAAAATCACACAAATCTAATGGAAAAAAGAATTAATTTAATTTTTTTTTCCCGCCCTCCTCAAAAAAATTGCCTTATAAAAACTCAAGAAACAAGGAATAAAAAAAGTCTAGCCTAAGGATGCCATAAATTCATTATTATATCATATTATTATACATCTGTCACCGTAACAGTGTGCTGTAATTTTGCGGTATTTTACGGGGTATTTTCATCCTACCATAATAGGAAATGCGAATTCCAAATATGGAATTATTACGCGCGTAAGCGTCCTCTAATAATAAAAACAAACATGGCTGCCACCAGAATTTAACAGGACTCCAT